TAAAATCCTCTCTTGTCAGCAGCGGTCGTGGACCCCAAAAGTTTGACACGCCCAGCTCCAATATTTGCATTTGCTCGTCAATGTTAGTTGAAAAAAAAAAAAAAAAAAAATCACGAGTTTACCTTGGGAATGGTCCGGATCGGCGTTGCTTGTTTGCGTCACAGCCATGTTGACTGTTTGCTGGCCTAAGAAACACACACAAGGCACGTCAATATTGGGGAATTATGCCCTTCGCTTTTGGAACCAAGCCAACTAAGATATCGGTAGAAATACAGACATTTTTTTCCCTCCCGAAATGTTAATTGCAATATGAAGGTGTGATGAATTTGTGTTAATGCCCTTGTGAATTGCTCGCGCGCTGAAGCACCCTCATCGTCGACTCCCTCTTCATTTCCCAGCAACATGAATGCGACATGACGTCAGTTCTGAGTCTTACCGGTCAAGGCGGTTGATGGCACGTCAACGATTTCTCCGGCACCGGTCTGGACTTGGACGCTTTCTAAAACAGCCCAAAGCATGAAAAAGAACACGACAACTTTTGGTTATGTCATCAACTCTGTCAAGTGATGTTGACACGACAAGAGAAGAAGCAAGCTGCAAAAGGAGGCATGCATTGCAACGGCGCTACGAACCAAAATCGGGAAAGCCCCCCCCCCCGAACGTATTAAGTGCAGAGCGAGCAGAATTGGTCCCAGCCCACACATTTTTGGACGTTATTCCCCATTCTCGTTTACAAATGACTTCTTAGCCGCGCCTCAATATGGAGTCATCGAGGACGCTTTGAAGTCATTTCAACGCTAAATCATTTGCGACCGCGAGTCCGCGCTCAGCCGGACGATCCCGGTGAGTTCTTTCAGCTTCGACTCTTTTGGTTATGTCATCAACTCTGTCAAGTGATGTTGGTCCCATAACACCGGCGACCGCGTGACGCACCTTGCTGGCCACATTTGGCCTGGCACTCTGCCATGCTCCGGAAATTGTTGGCGTTGCCAAAGCAGCCGCCGTAATAGAAGCGCTTGCACTGCTGACTGCTGCTGTTGAAGAAGTAGCGCGTCACCAGGCCGCGGCAGGGACCTTCCGCTTCGGGTAAATGACACGGGTTTTTATCCTCTACAAAGACCAAAAAAAAACCAACGAGCAGAAACAGAGAGAGAGAGAGATACGGTCACAACGGAGACACCTGGAAGGAAGCAACCATCCTGATGCGGCTGGATGTACATGAAAAGTGACATGTTTTGTTTTTTGTTTTTAATACACCGAAGTGTCATCATTTGAACACGCGCCATGACGGCAACAGGTGGCGAGAACTGAGCGGAGGCTCCGAGGGGACGCAGACTTTGCCGGAATGACCTCCCGCTGAACGTTGGGCAAGCCCCGCCCCCTCCGCTGCCCATCTTTCAAAGTCATCATTTTGATTCTTTGGCTTGTGAGTCGACACCAGACTTGATGGCCATTCCCGTCTCCGCAGCGATAGCATCGCGTTTCCACATCCACGCCCCGCACATGGAAAGGTCAACATTTCCAGCGGCTCGCTTTGCCTCTTCTGCACCGCCGCGTTCGCTTGATGGCGCTTCCCAAAACTCCTTTCGACTCAAAAGATGCATTTCTGTGCGATGAGAAGCCGACGTTTGAGACCAACACGAACGATGCGACGGCTCGCTCGGCTTCCTAATTTCCCCGCGAGTGTCGTTCTGCGCCGGCATGCCTTTGAATGATTGTTGGAGTTGCGGCGGTATTCAAAAGGGAATTCCTTTCCTCTCCAGCAAACACAAGAAATGGGCCTGAAAGTTGCTGCGCACTCGTTGAATGAGATTAAAGGAACGCAAATGGATTGATTTCCAATTGAACTGAGCAATTTTATGAAGAAAAAAAAGGCAACATTATTGCAGGAAATAAAAGAATTTCTTTGAATGAGAATTCATCAAACGCTCTTTTCATAAAGTAAAAAAAAAAAGGGCATTGTCTGGAAAAAAGAAACCTTCAACCTAATTCGACGTCATCGCGCGACAATCGAATGGGTCTTTCCGGCTGCCGCGGTGGGAGCCTCCCCGGCTTTTACGGCACTCAAGTCGTACGAATGAAATGCGTCCGTCTCAGTATTTCTCATGTCTGCCGACGGAAAGGCAGCTGGTTTTCGAGTTCTTTCATCGCAGATATCTTCTCAAGCTCTGATAGCACATCGAGAGCATTTGCACAAACTCTTGCCCGCCGGGTGCGTTTTTGCGCAGGTAAACTTTCTCGTCATGGCCGCCAAAACTGATTTGTATGTAAATTCTTCAGCGTGCCTCTGGTCTCTTTCCAATGGAAATCAACACAACGCGGCAGACCGCAATCAGTCTGGCGAGCGAGCACTTTAGAAGAACACACAATCTTAAAAAAAAAAAAACAAAAAAAAAAAAATGTGAAGAGCTGCGAGGAGGGCACGACTGGCCAATTTATGCAGATCAAAGACGCCTGTGCGCCGATGGGGTGTCCCATTTGCATATTTCCCGCTGAACTGGACAGAAAACAGCACATCCTGTTCGTAGCTGTTTGGGGGACAAAGGGAAAAAAAGGAGCCACACCCGAAGCGAAGAGCTCCCGCTTTTCATCGAGCGCCGACGTAACACACGTTTCTGCAGCGTGACTAGCATCGGGTATTCTGTCGCCGTCACGGCAGCTCTCGTCGCGCAGAGAAAGCAAAGTTGCAGCCGCTCTGACGGGTGACCTTTATCGGTGTCGTGAGTGCGCAACGGTGTCACCTTCCCCGCTTGCAGTTGCCGTCGTGACTTGAAAGGCGCGCCGGCGTCAGGAGAACACGAAAGCGGCGTCACGCGACGACCGTTTCAAACGTGAATTATCGAAAGCCGATGAAATGAACTCGACAACCTAAACCGCGGGTGTCAAAGTCAAGGCCCGGGGGCCGATTCCGGCCCGCCACATCATTTCATGTGGCCCGCGAAAGCAAATCAAGCATGTCAAGTTCCATGATGCTTGCTCAAGTCTGAACCAAAATTTCTAACTGTCAGATGTCATCCACAATAACATTCATTATTCTTGACTTCTGATTTGATTATCCACAATAACAGTCATTATTCTTGAATTCTGATTTGAAAACGAGTTATTCATCAATTTGTTGTGCGCTGTGGATGTAAACATGTGGAGGTGATTCAACATTGAGATGTTTTTCCCAAAATTCATAACGGCCCTCCTCGGCAAACCAGAACTACAACGTGGCCGGCGACAAAAATGAGTTTGACACCCTTGACCTAAACCATCTCGAATTGCTCCACCGCGTCGTCCCTTTACGAGCGGTCGGGCGGCACTGACCTGAGACCAGGCACGTTTCTCTGCAGGCCTCCAGCGTTTCAAAGTTGTTGGCGTTTCCTCCGCAGCCGCCGTATTCAAACAGCTCACAACGACCCGTGTCCACGTTGAAGAAGTACTTGTCCCGCAAGGCCCTGCAAGGCCCCGGATCCTCCTTCAGGGCGCACAGCTCATTGAAGATGAAAAGCTCCGGTTGAGCTCCTACCTCTGAAAGCAGTTACAAAAATAAAGAAATATATATACAGTACATTATATGTATATATATATATATAACACAGCATCGTCATGGAAATCCTTCCCATACAAAAATAAAGAAATATATATACATTATATGTATATATAACACAGCATCGTCATGGAAATCCTTCCCCTTCAAACCAAGAAATGTCACACATTGAATCAAAAGTAAGCAAAGACGGCGCATCAGCAGAGAACGTTCGCCTCGGCAGTCATGACGGGATGATGATGTCGCACTTTCTATAATTGTCCTCATTGTGCAAAATCCGTTGCTGCGATTGGGCGGCGGTGAACGGATTGTGCGGCAAGAGGCGCCTTTTTCGTAACTGACCCCAAATTAGCCCCGGGCAATGACTCTCTCAGCATATTTATTAAATGTGAATTTGCCACATAGTAAAAATGGCTTCACTTTCCTTGAACATAGAGAAAATAAATGAGTCCATATTGTTCATGTCAACGAACGTCACATCCATCTCGTTGGCGCGCGTTGGGGTTGGGAAAAATGTGTCGCCAATCTTTTCGAAAGGTATGAGCCGTACGTGCAAACAGAGCGACACTCGGTTTTCGTGACTAATCTGTCCATCCGACCCCAAACCGAATCAAACGATATCCAAAGTCAGCAGCGCTCGGATGGAGTGGGGCAATCTCGGCATCTCAACCTGCCAGAAGTCAAGCCTTCAACATAAAAGCGAGCGAGTATAAGAACAGTTGCGCCACGTTTTCTTTGGCCCTCCGGTGGCCTGTACTCCGACTGTTTGGTGAACGTCTACTGCGCGTGATTGTGTCAACATCAAGTGGGCTGAAAAGGGTTTTTAGTTGACCGCTTCTTTTATTTTGAAGGTCTGGTTTTTGACAGGATGTGTTCCGTAAATGTTGCTGGGCATACCGGGAGCGTTGATGTCTTGTGAACCCTCCTGATAGAACCTACAAAATGTTCCCGATGAATGCGCATCGATTCTGAAATATGAACAGTCGAGTCAGGCCATTTTTTTCCCTCGGGGAAAAAAACGAACAAAAACCCGGACACAATTAAGACGATTAAAAAAATTATCTGGCTAAATCATACAAAAACGGAGGTTCCTCTGTATCACGAAAGCTTTGAGGCGGTACTGTAATCTTTTTTTTTTTTAAGCGCTTTTTACATTGCTAGTCTTCCTCCCCTGAAAATATGATCAGCTTCCGTTTCAGCCGTTTATAATCCAGGTTCTTGCCTTCGGTGCTCCTTGTATTTCACTTGCTTCCGTTATTAGTTTTTTTGCTGAGACCGTGCTTTTTATCATGCAACCCTTGGAGGAACATCTTGAAAAGTTTAGGAATTAAGTTTACCTTTCTGCAAGGTACAAAGTTGCTCGGTGCTCCTTGTATTTCACTTGCTTCTGTTATTAGGTTTTTTGCTGAGACTGTGCTTTTTATCATGCAACCCTGGAGGAACATCTTGAAAAGTTTCGGAATTAAGTTTACCTTTCTGCAAGGTACAAAGTTGAGACACAGACAGAGAGACGGACAGACAGGAAGAGAGAGAGAGAGAGAGAGAGAGAGAGAGAGAGAGAGAGAGAGAGAGAGCGCGCGAGATGGTTCTGGACGACGAGCAAAGCGGTCACCGAGGGAATGAGGGCGGCATTCGTGCAACCTGTCAGAACTTCAATTTATGACCTTGGAGTCTTTAAGTCCTCCCAGTGTCGCCCCCTTTTGCCTGCCTGATGGAATGAGTTGCATCCAGTTGGCCAGATGAGGCCCTGCAGGGACTTGTGCTGATAACTGAATGATGGGATTGGGCTTGTCTCGCGCAGGAAAGTCCGCAGCGAGCAAGGCAGACAATTTGGGCCCGGCGCCGGTCTCCCGTCTCTTTTTTTTCACGTCAACAATCTCGCTCATGGCAACAATGCTCGAATTGTTTCGGGCTTCGGGTCTCAAAAACAAGTTCTGAGGTCGCTCAGAAAGAGAGTGCAAATTACGGGCGAAATGTTTCAAAGCTGGAAATGATTGAAGGACTTCCACAGAACATGAAACGTCATCTTGTATTCATTTTGAGTTTGAAAAATGGAAGCGGTAGCGCGGTTCCCTTTTGTGATGAGAAAGGATTATGGGGGAGACGAAGATCGTCCGAGGCACTGCTGTGGTTTCAAAATTGCAATAAAAAAAACCCCAACTGAACCTGAAATTCACCTTCAGAAAAAAAAAAAACTGCACTGGTAAAAGCAAACGGTATTTGAAAATAAAGAGTTTGAAATCCAGGGTGACAGTAACCTTTGAGCAACTAATCTCCTCTGCAAGCCAATGCAGCCCAAATTCGTTTGGGAATATTTCCAGACAGAAGGTGGCCCTGTTTGAAAAGTGTCGCGTCGTTTGGGGAAAAAGGATCGCAGAGGAACGGGTAGCTTGCTGCTCATCAGTGGCCTTTTAGCAGCTGCTCTCTTCACAGCCGATGCACCTGCCTGACGCAAAGCTTGCCTAACTACGCCTTGAGAGGAACAAACCCGCGCACAAAATGTCAAGCGTTCACCTTCCCCGATTCCATCTCAAGAGTTCCGTGGCTCCGCTTGGTATTCCGTGTAAGTGTGCTGACAAGACAAAGACGACGTAACTCCCTCGGCCCGGCCGAGGGATTATTTGCACTCTCAGCTAAAGACACGGCATCAAAGTGCTAAGAGGTTGGGCGTGTGGCTAACCCAGAGACATCATCCCGCAAGCTCTAAAATAAATCAAGAAGATGCAGATCAAGCTCGGACCACGATTAAGAGCGGACTGAAATGTGCAGGGGGGCACAGGAGCGCCGAGAGCTCAGGTGGAGCCGGCCCATTTCAAGATTTGAAAACTAATCACAGCATCTTCGAAAGAACTCGAAAATGAGCCACTGAAGGGATGCCAGAGTCGTGGTGACGTGCTTCCTCTTTTTCTACGGGTAGCAGTCCAGAGGCGACGACTAGCAGCATTCTGGACCAACTGGAGAAGCTTCATGGAGGATTGGCTGACTCCAAAGTCAATCTAATCTACAGAAAGATGACCACATTGTGACCCCATCGTCTCCACTGACTTC